TTTATATTACTCTTAGTAATTTCAGAATAGCAAACCCCTTTTTTTATTATTAGTCTTTAAATTGTGTTTATAAAATAACAGTTTCAGTGAATTATTAAATAATTGTGCAACAATTACATGTATTTATTAATTAATACTTTGAATACTTGATGTTTTAGAAAATAATTAGTAATTAATTAAAAACCGTTGTATAATAAAACAAATTTTATTGAATAAAAATATTACATGTAATTTATATCTGTAAAATAAACAAGCTGGCAATTAAATGCTTTTTCTTATTACTTACCAACTACAGAGAAATAATAGTTAATAGAAACAAATTATTTTTATACAGTTAATTAAAATATTGACAATATTTTCTTTAAAGATGTAAACAATATAATTGAGACTACATATATCAGTACTACAAAATGTAACATCGTGTAATTAAAATAATAACACAGCCAAACTAATTAGCAAAAAAGCACATTTTTTTGTGTTCAGAGACAAAATTTTTCTTACAGACTTTCGAAGAGATCAATAAGACGACGCATTTCTTTTCTAAGGAAATTGTTAAGGAAAATAATGGACATTTATCAAATAGTTTTTTTATGAATTTTTGTTAAGCGACATATATAACTTTAACTTAACTTAACATTATGGTCAGAAGTTACCGGTGAGCACATTCAAACCGTTATTTTTAACTTCTTTTTTATTGGTGTAAGTAACATACATGACAATTTTTAAAATCTAATTTCTCCCTTATCGTAGGGGCCGAGGTTAATAAAATCTAATAAATAGTTATTGGGACATACCACTTGCAAGAACTTTATGGTCAGAAATCATCGTTCAACATTTTCGACCCCTTAGTTTTATGATTACTGTATTGGTGTAAGTAATGAATATAATAATTTTGAAAATCAAATTTACCCCTCATCGCAGGGGCCAATGTTAATTAAATCTAATAAAAAGTTATTGGGATATACCACTTGCAAGAACTTTATGGTCAGAAATCATCGTTGAACATTTTCGACCCCTTATTTTTATCATTACTGTATTGGTGTAAGTAAAGAATATAATAATTTGTAAAACCAAATTTCACCCTTATTGTAAGTATTACGTTACTCTAAATAGCAAAGGATACATTCTAGAAGCTAGATGTTGCACTGATTTCATAGAATGTGACAATTCTTCCGTTTTTGCCATCACTGTGTACATACTCTACAAGAGAAACTGAATGCAGTTCAAGAAAATCAACATGTAAAAAATAGACTGGAGATTAACCTTAATATTTGCGTCCATAGCATCAGACATTTTTGATACAGCATCTTTATAAATATCAACATTGTCTGCTGTTATTGACGATATCTAAAAAGGACTTTAATTAATAAATAATCGAAAATGACTAGATGCAAAACAAAATAATTATAAGTATTTTTAATTTGATGAAATTTGTATTACAAAGAATTTACTAAAAAGAAGATAAATGAGCTTACAGAGTGCAAAATTCCACACAAATTCTCAGTAAGTGTGTCCACAGAAGTGGCAATTTTCTGTGCTTCAAATTCAAGATCATTTAAAATATTTGGATCCAAACTACTCACTGATGTCATCAAAAGACCTTTTTGGGTATAGCTTGGAGTTCCTGACTTTGAGTTCCCTAAAAATCACACTTTATAGATCTTAAATACTTTATACAATAATGATACACCTGAAAATTTTGATACAGGACTTGATATTTTAATTTTATATTCCAAATCTTCTGTAACAAAATGGGTCATGTTTCCTTCTACATGAACAGTCCCTTCAGAGTTTAGAGGTAGTAACGGTTTGCCTATATTATTTGTATCATATGCTAAAGAAATAGGTCTTTGCAGAATATGATCAGCAGATGGTATTGAATCCATTGTTAATGATAAAGAAACTTCAGTTTCAGGACTCATTCCTGACTTGAAGGAGATCTCACTGTATGATGTTGTCATCTGCTGTGATGTCTCTTCATCTAATTCTATCATCTCATTATCTGCTTTATAATCTTCAGGGCTTTTTGGACTAGTTACAGAACCATGTTTCTTTGGAGGCCTCTTAAAGTACATATGACAATTATTACAATTAATTTAAACAAATTAAAGTGGTTTACCTCAGGTAATGGGGGTGGTAAACTAGGAGGTGGTTGAGAAGGGGGCCCCTTTGGAGATACTGGTGAATCTTCTGTAGAATCCATTGGTGCAGTCAGATACTTACTTGCAGCTGATTTTTGATTCTTAACAGTATGTTCAATAAATTACTACCTCATGTTGCATTAAGAATGTCTTTTACTGCTAAAATTAGACAATTTGGAGACCTATAACACATCATAAGTCACTGAAGTTAATACACACTTTGAGTTGTAAAATTCATATAATGAGTTAGCTTTGTGAATTCCTGTCTTATTAAATGCTCTCATTCTTACCTTTCAAGTCCTTTTTAGGAAGTACGTATTGAATTTTGTTGTATTATTAACTACAAATGTTTGATAAACTTACGAGACAGTCATATACATTTAGTGACTTTAAGTAAAGCAAGTAAACAGCCTGAGTTGTTGTAAAATTATTACATATATTTTAGACATCTTTTAATTAATTGTGCATAATTAATATATTCAATTTACTGCGTTTAAAATAAAAAATAGTTTATTTTGATTATAAACGTCAAACACCACTACCATAACCTTAATTTTAAAGATTTAATCTAAATTATATAAAGTATAGGCAACCAACTATGCACTACTGTTGTTTAAGTAGAATAAGAACAGTACCATATTTTGTAAATATAATTTTCATATCTATGTAATACTTTTTTATCATCTCATAATCATTATCATAATAGTATTTTAAATAATATGAAGTTTATTACTTATATTTTTACTTCAGAATTACCCTTTTTATAAATTACCCTCTACACATACTTTTATTAGTGTATTTCTAAAGCAACAAACTATTATCCAAAGAAACAAACAGAATAGTCGATAAAACATAATTTACTTCTATAAAAAATATAAAAAACATAACAAAGTATTGCATAACATTCTGATAGTTATTAATAAACACTGAATAATAGTACTCTAATCACAAAGTTTAAACAGAAACAAACATTTTTTAAAAAGTTTTGTTGTTCTAGCAAAACATTAAAATTTTATGTAGAAATTTTTTTTTGTAGTGGACTATCTACAAATCGCTTCTTTTCTTAAATTTT